AATCATTCTGAAATAAATGTATGTGGTTTACTCATGCAAAGCTGTTCATAAATATAGAAATATTTCAAAAATTTACAAGGATTTAGAAAAATATTCTTCCAATTTTCACCTTCAGATCAACAGGGAAATACCTAAATAATTTAAATGAGTTTTGAAAGACTGTTGGAAAGCTTATGTCACGGAAGAAAAGCCTTGTTGTCATTACTAGAAGTTTGTACAGACATATCAGGTGGCTTGGAAGAAATAAAAACATCTTTTCAAGTATTATAATATAGAATAGTATGTGAAGCAAATTTAGCGTATATATTTATAGCAAATATTTAATATACTAAATATTGATGTTCTGAAAACATATAAAAAACTAAACAAACCACTGGATACAAGACTTAACCCAAGAAAAGTCAGAGGGAAGCAGTGCGAAGTTTCACAATAATCTGAAAAAGATAAGGAAAAGTACTAAAATCTCATCCAAGGAAAAAAATAAAGCAAAGTCTGGGTAGCCTGTGCCAGGAGAAGGGAGTTTTCTACATTTGAAAACTAAAATTATTGAAATAGTCTCTTACTGAGTGACAACAATTTACCACAGCTTGACTTTTTTTAATCACAACTTTGCATAGATGCCGAGACAGGGTACACTGATCCCATCCTATGCCCCGAAGAATATCTGCTTTAAAGAAAGAAAAAGGAAAAGGAAAAAGGGAAAGGAAAGCTAGAAGAGTCTTTCTTTCTCAAGAAGAGTCTTCTTTCAGGAAGACTGAAAAGCAGGTATCTCAGCAACATTTTCAAAATGCTTTTCAAAAAAGAAAAATCAAGCCTTCCTTTGAAATCTTTGAAAATATTTTTGTTTTATCAGATGGCATTGTTGTTTTATTAAAATTATTATTATTTTTTTAAAGTTAAATTAGATCTTCCAAAACCAGCATGATTACACATATTTAAAACTAAAGCTCATACACCAATTATAAAGCAATTTTCCAGTTTAAAGAACCATGATATTTCTTTTACTTAGGTAAAATAAATTGCCATTCTGACTCATACTAGGCCTTGCTTCCACTGCCTATTCAGCATCTTTTTCTTGCCATATCAGCAAAATACTAATGGGAGATGGAGTCCTACATCCAGCTGGGACAGCTTTGTGGTTTTGGTCTCATTTCTTAGAATCATCGGTAGAATTAGTTTAATAATGCTAAAGCTAACTATTATATGTGTTAGTGGAAAGATGTCTGTATTTAAATAGTAATTTTTGGATAATATATTTATTCCCAAATTTTCTTTGTCAATTTTGCTCACAGCTACAGCAGTCCGCAATTTCACGTCAAGAAACTTGTAAGATGTTAAAGAGTTACAAAACACTGATATAAATAATTTTTAAGTTACCCAAAAGGAGAGAAATGAAAAAGGTATTGCCACTAAGCCACAAGGTAGGTTTCATTGCTCAGATATGCGCTCTGTATACACAGATTTATTTGCAAGTGTAAATATACGCATGCAGGAGAAAACAAGAAATACAATTATTTCACACATCTAGAAACAAAAAGATTCTATCAAAACTGTCAGTTGCATGGCATGCCCAAAAGAATTGCAGGGATAGAGAATGGACATGCATTGATTCCCACCCAGAATAGAGATAACATATCTCTTCCTCCCAAACGCCATCAGGAAACCAAAGGAGAATCTATGCCTTTACTAATATGAAACATCCTTTAACATTTGCAGTTTCCTGGTCTACTGAGTATTGGACTGGCCACCATAGAGTTAGAAATCCGTTGCATTATCAAAATATTTGAGGAAGTAAGCAGTGATTCAAAATATACGAAGTTGTTAAGCAGTCAGATTGAATCAAACAGATACAAGTTCAGATGTCAATTTTATATCAGACACTATATTCTTTGATTTTTCTGCTATCTCATTAATATATTCACCACTAACGATGCTCACAGATGTGCCATAACTATATTTTACTGCAATATATTATCTCCAACATTAAATACCTCCTAAGGAGATCAAATATGTGATTCACCCTTGGAAATAGTCTTTATGGGGATAATATAATGCTCTTCATTTTATTCAAATTTTCCCAGGAGAATTCACACTCTTTGCACCTGAATAGCCTGCCTATACAACTCTCCACAATACCTCAAAACAAGTTCATGAAAAAAAAAATCTCAGCCTGACTTTATCAGTTGAAGTAGCTTATGAACAAGAGTCCAGTCTGAATAAGAAAACAATTTGTATCACAGTTTTTATATATTCTGATTGTGATTACAGAGTAGGTCATTTCTCAAAATGTCAGACAGTTTCTTATCGAAATGAGAATGACACAAGATGCACTCAGTCTTATGCGACTTTCAACCTCAGACTAAGTCTCTAACTTCAGTAAATTAAAAGCAAGTTGTTGTGTGTGGGTACTTTGTACGTGGTTTATTTCTTTGCTAAAATCTGCACTGTAGGTTGACTAAGTCCCTTTCTTTGAAATAGTAAATTATCAGGAGATAGCACAAAAAAAAAAATGCACCTAAAAACTTCTGTCTTTTCTCTGCTTTGTCTTTTTAGCAGCAGTAATTTGACACAGGTAACAAAATCACCCACACAAACCTAGAGAAAGGTTTGCACAGCCAAGTACACAAAATTATTTGATCACATGGTGAGTAATGATTGAATTCAAAGCCAATGTCAATCAATGTAGATGGCTTCATTTATAGCATTATCTGTAAATTTTCCTGGATTCTTCTTGTCTAGTTACAGTATCTCCTAAGAAAAGCAAGTCAGGACGGTACATGTGATTAAAGCACTAGCGTAAAATTTTATATGATCCTGTCTCAGAGGTCGCAGATAAAGAAGGAACATTAAGTACAAGTCACTGTGTGTAACATTCTTACCAAACTACTGCAGGCTAGAAACACTGACTCAAAAAAAGATTACACCTATCTATTCAAAACTACAAATGACACCTTTCAGTGGAAGATGTCCCTGTCTATGCAGGGAAGTTGAAACCAGATGATCTTCAAAGAGATCTCTACCAACTCAAACCATTCTATGATAAATTGCTGTTTCGCTAATCATAATGACTTGGACTGATCATTTGGTTTAAATTAAGCAACTGATAAATATAGAGCAAATTTACTTTCAAAAGTAAAAGCTAATAAGTCAGTCATTACTTCAAAGCTCAAGAAGAAATGACTCAATGTAACATTGCAGAAGGTCATAAAATAGTTCATATTTTTTAAAAAATAGAATAAATTCATATCATTAGAAACCACTATTTTCAGGAAAAAAGAAAGAAAGGAAGAAAGGAAGAAAGGAAGAAAGGAAGAAAGGAAGAAAGGAAGAAAGGAAGAAAGGAAGAAAGGAAGAAAGGAAGAAAGGAAGAAAGGAAGAAAGGAAGAAAGGAAGAAAGGAAGAAAGGAAGAAAGGAAGAAAGGAAGAAAGGAAGAAAGGAAGAAAGGAAGAAAGGAAGAAAGGAAGAAAGAAAGAAAGAAAGAAAGAAAGAAAGAAAGAAAGAAAGAAAGAAAGAAAGAAAGAAAGAAAGAAAGAAAGAAAGAAAGAAAGAAAGAAAGAAAGAAAGAAAGAAAGAAAGAAAGAAAGACCTCTTTGATGGTGACATATTGGTTTCCATCATTTTAACTAAAAGCACAGCTAATATTGCAGCAATATAAACAAATGCTACCTTGAAAATTGAACTCCATTACCAGCTTCTGCTCCTATGTCCAAAAGATTTGGTCTGCCAAATATAATTACATGCACATGTGCATTCATATATAACAAATATCCAAGAAGACTGTAATTCAAAACCTACTAAAGCAGCTAATTTCACATTTCACACATGCATTCTCCTTGGGAGTAACACAAAACAGAAGAAATAAAAGATTAAAAATAAGAAAAAACATCAAAGATAGAACTGTAAATATATCTTACATAAAATTTCCTTTGTGAATAAAAACTGTGACAGTCATACCTAACCAAATACTGGAAAACACACCTTATACCAGTACATTTCACCTTAATGATATGCTTCATGCATTCAGACGTAGCTGAGTTGATATGCACTGCATATTTCTATTAACCAGTTCCCATAACTAACAGGCTCACAAAGTCAAATATATGCAATCTTAAGTATAATCTTTAAGCTAAAAAAAAATAAAATTACACAATAGGTATTTCTATCAGTAAAAGGTGAAAAAGTTCCTCCCATAATATCTCTTTTGGCTACATAAAACCATTAAATTTATGCACTGTCTCAAGGGAGCCCTCTCCAGGAATCTTTGATAGCAGCACGTGCCCGGGAAAATGAAGTTGTGTTTAAATAGTATTATTACTATTCATGTCAGTGAGAGGGATTAATGCTATTTTAACATGTACAATGGTTTGAATTTCATGCAGAACTGGGAAAGTACAGCACTAGGTGCTCTCCCTTCCAGCCTCATCTCCCTCCCTCTTTTGCCCTGCACATCATACACAATAATTCACTAACAGCAGGAAAAGAGCAAAATTGATTCTACCATTCAGTGTCAGAAGTTGGAGCCAGAGCATCAAAGAGGAAAACTGGCTTTAATATCCAACAGTATCATCCAATAGACCTGTCAGAGTAAACCTGTGACAGTGGTTAAGTCCAAGTATCAAGGTACCTTGTGACTGTACATGATTCATAAAATCCTCAATGAAATTACAGAATCACAGAATTGTAGGGGTTGGAAGGGACCTCCAGAGATCATCGTGTCCAACCCCCCTGCCAAAGCAGGTTCCCTACAGCAGGTGGCACAGGTAGGCATCCAGGCAGGTCTTGAACATCTCCAGAGAAGGAGACTCCACCACCTCCCTGGGCAGCCTGTTCCAGTGTTCCGTCACCTCACTGTAAAGAAGTTCTTGCGCATGTTTGTGCAGAACTTCCTATGCTGCAGTTTCCGGCCGTTTCCCCTTGTCCTGTCTCCACTCACCACTGAAAAGAGTCTGGCCTCCCCATTCTGCTCCCCACACCTTAGATATTTATAGAACTGGATCAGGTCCCCTCTCAGTCTTCTTTTCTCAAGGCTGAACAGACCCAGTTCACTCAGCCTTTCCTCATAAGAGAGATGCTCCAGGCCCTTCACCATCTTTGTGGCCCTCCGCTGGACTCTTTCCAAGAGATCCCTGTCTTTTTTGTACTGGGGAGCCCAGAACTGCATGCAGTGCTCCAGGTGAGGCCTCACCAGGGCAGAGTAGAGGGGGAGGAAATTAAACATTTTAAAATTAAACATTTTAAAAATTTCTGAAATACTTGAAATACAATTTATTTGGCATATATAGCATATTACTACTTGTTTCCTAGCCTAAGCCATATAAGATGATTAAAAAAAAAAATTAAAAAAAAAAAAAAAAAAACACCACAGCTCTTAAAGAAAAGGATATTCTACGGTAAATATTGTCTATAATATTTTCCTCTCTGCTTACTATAAATAACTGTACTCCAATTAAATTAAGTTCAATCTTGTCAAGCAGGAAATTTTTTTTTGAAGAACTGGTAAATGATTCTGGATTACTGTCCTGAACATTTTCCTTTATCTCTTCATGAATTAAGATGAAATTCTACTTGGACCTCTGTAATAAGAATAAGGTACATTAAAAATTTTATACAGTGCAATGAACGTTTACCATCTACATGCTTCTACAAGTGGCAAGGGGAAGTATCTTTGTGACCTTAGACATTATCACACTGTAATGTTACTCTTTAAATAGAATACAAAAGTTCAAATTACCATGATATTCACATGCTGTATAAACATTTTCACATGTCTACATGCTCTTTGCCAAAAAGTACCAAAAAAAAGTGCTCTTGCTACATTCTTGTGGAGAACAGTTGCATTGTCCCCACCCTTGCGAGGAGCATGTGCAGCACCCCAGCACAACTGCCCCTCCAACAGACATTACTATTGGCCAAAGATAAGCTTGCAAACACACTGGCATTTCCACTAAATTTCTGCAGTTCAATGACTTTCATGTTTTAATTCTGTTTTAATATCAGGAGTTTTTAATATGTTTTTAAGTAACCCCCCCTTCAGGGCTGTGTTATATCTGCAGTTTCATACTCATAAGATGTCATGATAAGGCAGGTGTACCTGTGTGACTGTCTCTTCTTTGAACAATTCCAAATTCTCATCTATAACTGGTATCATATGTATCTGCTGCTAATCTCATCAAGTGCATGAAGGATTCAGACTGAAGTATTTACAGAGCTTAAATACATAGCTGAAGACTGTATTTCAAAATGTAAATTAGCTCAGCTGTTCCTTTCAAGCCCATGCAGTTTATGGCTCTATAGTCATTAATAACCAAGGCCTAAATTTCAGGCAAGCTGCAATTCTGACTTTAAGAGTACAAAACAATGAAGCTGGGTTCACTGTTGTTTTGAACATCATAGCTATACAGACATGGACATCTGCACTCTGGAAACCCAACCATGGCTTTCAAAATTCACTTATTTGATGAATACTGCATGTAAGATAGTCTTCAGAATTTAATACCTCTTTAATTTTTGTGTGTTTATCTTTCAGAATAAAAGATGTCTTTTTGCCACAAATGTTATCAATCTCTGAAACCAAGTCAGGAGTACCTTTCTTCCTTAATTTACACCTCTTTTTTAAAAATACTTCTTAAATTATTGATCCGTTTTTCTTCTCAGTTTAGCTTCAGGATGGGTGCTTAGCTCAAAATCAAATAGAGTAAAACAAAGAGGAAACAATTTCATACATGAACTTCATCAAAGTCTTCAAGTGATAAACAATTCTTTGACAGGAATCCATCTGTTTTCTTTGTCTCAGAGCTCCGGCAACTAGAAGACTCAGCTCTCCCTTCATAAGATAGACAGCAACAAACTGTGCCCATCCAAATTGAACTTTTCAGGGAGGCAGGGGAAAAAAAAAATACACCTTTTCATAGAATCATAGAATGGCTTGGGTTAACAATCAATGTAGAAGTACATCTAGTAATAGTATCCAGTGAGAGAAATAAATTATAATCATTACATTGACTGGTAGTATCACCTCAAGAGAAAATAAATCCAATATTAAACCAACTTTTACCTGATAGCAGCCAAAAAGCTAAGAATCCCAATTTTCTTCTAACACAAAAAAATAAGAGTATCATTTATATCTAGTACTCTAAATCACAGCAGTATCCTTTTATTTCTCAGATATACTGAATTATTAACTCTTCTGAGGAACTGCTGGTCTAGTGAAGGAAACATGCACCATGGATTCATTCCTCCACCCACACTGTAGCATGATGGTGACATCTACAGATCTAAAATTTCTAAAGCAACAGATTCTTGTCTCACTTGAACAAACATCTCCTAGAGATAAAAAGTTTTAGTAGGTTAATGTGTTCCTCCCAGCTTCCAGTTCTAAAGAAATAATTCATACAATTTAACTATAAGAACATTATACATGTATGGATATTTTTGTTGAAATGTTTCAAACATCAGAAAACAGTAAGAACATCAGTATAATTTCTCTCTGAATGTAAAGCAGTTCTTCATACAGTGTCCAATTTGAGACCCAAGTGGATGACCTTGACAGACTCAAGAGATAGGCCCATGTAAACAACATATACTTCCACAAAGACAAGTGCAAGGTCCTGCTCCTGTGTCAGGATATTCTCAACCTGAGTATAGTCTGGGTGATGACTGGATAGAGAGCAGCCCTGTAGAGAGCGACTTGGGGATTTCAGTGGATAAAAAACTCAGTATGAATTGTCAGTGTGAACTTGGAGTCAAGAAAGATTTGTAGTGTTTCTATGTACTTTATGACTGTATATTTCCTTAGTATGTAATAACAGATCTTATTCATCTTTAAAAACTGTGATTGTGAAATACATTTTCATCAGATAAATAAAGCACCTCCTACCACTTAAATTTTTCTACTAATATCTTCATCATAAACAATTGCAGAACTGTATCAGACAAACCAGACTTTGTTCTTATTCAGCATCTATAGCATAAATATTTCTGCACATCAGCAAAGAAGGAAAGCAAAGAAAAAAAACAATGAATTCTACATTTGCTACCAATTTCACTCTCAGCAGGGACAAATTCTGTTGGCATTCTGAATGCGTTAGCTACACCACAGAACTACAGAAAGGAAAGATACAGAATTAATTGTATTCCAGTTCATTTCCATGTTTTTTCACTCCCCCATTCCGTATCTCCTAATCCCCACCCCTATTCTTTAAGCATACACTCAGGAATGCAAAACTAATTCTGAACAAATATACACAGAGACTGACATAACATCAATATAAATAAGACAAGAAGTTTATTGAATTGATTGCATAAGAATTACCCTATATTTTCTGAAGTGTCAATGAATCCTTACAGCATGACCCAATATTTGAAATTCTACAAAAATCTTTTTTTTTTTCATAGAATATTTATATTCTCACAACCATTTAATATTAGCGCTACAACAACATCCATCAATTAATAATCAGGTCCCACTGTACTGGATTCTGTATGTACAACAATAATTACTACTTGAAAACAAAACAATCCTAACCCAGACAGTGACTGGGCTAAAAAGTACTGTTTGTTATATTCTTCATAGAAAAATATTTGTAACAAAATTAGTATGCAAGTCCATAACAAAATGCTTAAGTACAGTAATAGAAAAGTAGCTACAGTTCTTGATTTTCCCAGAGGTTGAGACCCTGCTGAAAGATAAGGACAAAAATTAAAATCTTAAGATCATGTTCCTGATACAAACTAAATCTGCACGTAGGGATAATGTTTTGCATCTCTAATTGAGGTTAAAGGTAACACGTTTAAGTTCAGAAACTGCCTAAGCTTCCTGTTTCTTAATTCATTTTTCGCATTACCATAGAAACAACCTTTCTGAGTATGTGTACAGGGAGAAAGGAGAGGAACAGGGGGATGGGTGAACAATCACAAACATTTGTTTTCTTAATGGAGACTAACATATGAATGAGACATCCATGATTTCTGAATAATACAGCTATTCATGGAACAAAATAATATTTTTCTACATCTTTTCATTAAAAATATTTGTAAATACCAGTTTTGTTGGATAAATAAAAGTTAACAAAATGTAAAATATTTTTTAAAAAAATTAAATAAAATGCTGAGATGATGAGCACACCAGAGAGCAAGAACACCTCCACAGGGAAGTTATTTATCGGTTAATTTTAAAGTCTACTCCCAGCTACACCTGGGATTTCATTGTCAAACTGAAAATAGTTGCAAGATAACATATAAGACAGAATTGCTCTTTCAGTCCACTGGCTAAAGCAACAGACTTGTAAGCAAAGCTAGTAAATAATCTTTGGGGACTGTATATAAATGTGTGACAGACATATTGGTCTTCTAATGTAATTAGGCCTTGACTCACAGCTCCCTTCTGCTCAGAGTTTTGGTTTTTTTGCTTCCAGATATAGACTTTATCCCTTTGGGAATTTGTCCCCCGAGTACTTTTGCTACAAAGAGCCATTGTGGATTGTGCCCTGTTTACATAGATACCAGCTTACAATTAACAAAAACATACGTAGAAATCTTATCAGTCAGATAGCTGAACTTAAAAATAATTATATTTTTCTTATTTAAAACTAGTTATTTTTGAAACTAAAAAATAGATGTATTCTCTTCATTTGAGTGATAATTTAAATTAAAATACTATAATGACATAAAATTGATGCAGTTAAAGACACTTTTAATCCCAGACCAGTCTAGCAGTTAAGAATTTTTAACCAGCACTCCTTTAAGTCTATCTGGCATTAAAAGACACTTGCAAAATCTATCAAAGCTGCAGAAACATCTATAATATTTTTTCTTAATAGAATGAGGAATACGAGCATCTTACCACATAGCTGAGTGATACAGCCATATGAACACAACGTTCTCATATGCTTTGTGTTTTCTAAGACATTACGTTTCAAGTGAAACAGCTTCAACAGGAGAGACGAGCACAAGGAGTAGGAGAAAATAAACATCTGAATTTTTCCTTAGAAAAATAAACTTAAATAATCCTGAACACAAAGTTCCTAAGATTATTAATTTCCTGCAAAATTTCATCTAAACATCTGTTTTTCAGTTCCAGAGGGCACGTCCACATTTCTCAGAGCTATCAGTTTGGGTTGTTTTTTTTTTTTT